GAGGGACACTTGGGAAGTATGAAATCTCTGTACTTAGATCTTGCTCTAAGGCCCATTACATTATTTAGTTTTCTCAGTCAGCTTCTAGATCCAATGTCCATGCATGCACAGTTCAGCCCCACACACTTCTATGGAGCTTATAGACGGATTAGTCGGCTAAGGAATGTAAACAGTGCTACCTGCCTCAGAGCAAGAACCTAAAGAACAACTTCAGGCAGAAAAAAATCAACCCTTGCAGTGGGCCTAACCCCCCGCACTGCAAAGGTTAACTGCAGCTTTGGGTCTAGGGTGTAAAATAAAGCAGATATACTCAGCTAATCCTTGGTCCTCTCTGGCTGCTAGACAGGTCCCTACAGCCTCTCTCCCTCATTCATTTCGGTGCACCTCTTGTATCGGTGCATCCCTAATTTACACTAACATGGAATCGTGGTGCTGGTGACATCTGTATTGGAGTTCTGTTGTGAGCGGCGCCATCCGCAGTCATTACGAGCACCCGTTACTTTTGGGATATCGGGTAATGGGTGCGGCAAAGTATATGGATATTGCTTTATATAGTATATATCTGGGGACCTGTGGCACACTGGCAAGTTGTGATTAACTCCAAATACATGCGTCATGTATACTTTACAAAAAAATTGCCGCGAGGTGCTACAGTGTTCGGGTTTGGCTTGAAGAAAAGGTGGCAACCCTAGTGGGGACTGGTCTAGCAGCTAAATGGGACAGAGGTTCAGGTGAGTATATTTGCTTTATTTTACACCCTAGACCCAAACCAGCAGTTAACCTTTGCAGTGCAGGGGTAGACCTGCTGCAAATGGTTTATTTTCATTCTGCCCAGTGTTCTTCTTTAATTAGTACAGCTATGGGGAGGGAGGCAAAGAAACTTGCTATGGGAAAATTTCTGCACCTTTAACAAAGACAGTCCATGCGACATTAGAGGAAGTAATGACAGTTTTTACACATGTGTAAGAAATGATCAAGTGATCCTGAATTAGATATCAGAACGAGGCTTGGCACCGCAGAGGCACAGGGATGTGAGCCCATGACCTGATTGGGAATGGGATTTCAGAACTAGGCTTGCCTCCTATAGAGATGCGGCTAAGCAGAGTACAGCCAATGTGAAGCCCGAGGATTGATGCGGCTAAGCAGAGTACAGCCAATGTAAAGCCCGAGGATTGATCACATGACCTAGAATTGATCTCAGAAGGAGGCTTGGCTCCTAGACAGAGGAAGTGAGTAACCTGAGTGGTGGTCACATGAACTGAGACTTGATCTCAGAACGAGGCTTGCCTCCTTTGGAGAGAGAAGCACCAATCAATATGAAACCAATGATCAAGTGACTTAGGACTGGATGTCAGAACGAGGCTTGATTCCAATGATAAACCAGGAAGTGAAGTGGCACAAGTCTGTGCAGCCTGAGAGGGTGTAGAGATTTATCTTATCTGTAATAGAGAACCAAGTCGCCAGAAAAGGTGAATATGAATAGCTACATTAACTGCCCTGTATTCTACGCTGCACGGCTTCCCTCTGACGTCATCACTCAGCGCATACGGCGATTGGTAGCTGCACTCTCTGTTATCATAGCAGCGGACCAGTGTGAATCGCTTCCGACTTCTGTGCGTGTCAAATGCAGGAAGTTAACCAAGTGCGCATGCGATCTGTGGAGCATGCTTGTGTGTGCTATAGTGTGTAGTGAGTGATTGTTGGGAATGGTGGATACAGCCAGAAGTACCTGGCAGGGTATGTAATTGCTGAGCTATAACAGAATGGAGTTTGGACATATTACAATTGGGATTCTCTAGCTGGGATGGTAATATAGACACATCAAGCTTTTTATGGTTCCAGTTGTTTCTAAACTATGAAACATTCATCAACAGAGTTATTATTATACAGGATTTATATGGCACAGCCCTTTACAACATAATGGGAGACAGTACATTTACAAAAACAGTACGACACGAGAGTTAGGAAGGCCGTGCTCATGAGCGCTTACAATCTGAATGCGTTATTAAATGCAGTCTTGTATTAGCCGATTCCACCCAGAAGTGCTTTTCTAGTTATAATTGGAGGCTGGTGAGTCACCCCCCCTGGCGTTTTATATTTGGCCTTCAGCACTGAAAATCCCGCCTGGACTTTCTGGTGTTTCCACCTTGGGGTGCCCCCACTCCTTAAGTTGCATTCCATGAAGTAAAAGTAATTTTTAAAGTACTTGAAATCCCAGCTCTGCCTTTTCCCACCACCATTACTGATGAGTGCATTGCCATGTGCAATTTAAAGGAGAACTGTGAGGTGAGTGAAAATCAAATCACTTATCATAGTTCGAGCCGACGTGTGACAATGAAACTGTCACAGGTCGGCTCAATAGATCAGGAAGTGAGCGAACACATACCGTCGCTCACTCACTTTTCAATCATCTCCCTGCAGAGAGCGGTGACTGTCAGTCATGGCTCCCTGCAGTGATTCCGATCCTCCAGCGCTGACTGGAGGAACGGACGGAGGCGGGCACAGCTGGCTCTGCCTCTAAATAGGCAGAGTCAGCTGTCATTCACGCAGCTGGGTGGATCTCGGCAGTGATGTCGGGATCCGTCCCGGCTGTGGCGGTCCCAGTGTACCGCGAGCTGTAGCTTGCGATATACTGAACTATGGGTTACGGGAGGACGCTAGTATATGTCCTCGCGTGACGCTTGAGAGAAGTATGGGGGAAAAACACCCCCATAGTTCTGTTTTAACTTTGGCTGTCATGCAACGAGTGTATACAGCAGACAGCACCCATCTTAGCATTCCATAGATTAGTGAGCTGTGTTTTTTCTCCTGATCACCGCTGAGCCTAAGCTTAGTGTGAATCCAGTTCAGCCAAGCCTGCTGAAAACGGTGACTCCCGGCCCAATCAGTTGCAACTCAGTTCGCCCAGACCTGCCAAAAATGGTGACTACCGCCCCCATCCTCCCAGTCCAGTCAGTTGCAAAGAGGCACAGCTATGTGCCACTGAGTTGGCGGGTGGGGTGGGGAGTGGTAGTCACGGTTTTGTGCAGGCTTGGCTGAACTGGATTCACACAGTCACAGTGGGCTTGGAAAAACGTAGGCGCACTGGGTTCGCACCAAGCCTAGGCTCATCACTAATCACCATCCCACTGACACTGCCTTGGAGTGGAGGATTTGTAAAGCCATTTAGGCTTCATTCACACCTACGAAGTAGTTGTGCATCCAGGGATAATGATTGTTTCCTAACAGCATGTATTAGTATCGCATACGATTATATGAGCTGTCAGCGTTCTGCTGCTTTCAATTTGGGCTGCTGTCACCTGATCATTCACTTGAAGGGGTGACAGCTGCCACTTGTAAATGGAAGATTTTGAATTCCTGCTGCAGGAATACCAAATAGCACCTACTTGTGAATGTAGCCTTAAAGGGACATCCACAAATATAATATTACAAGAGTGAGGGCTATATGCATTGATCTATAATGATAACATGGGAAGACTTCTTGCACAACTACGTTAATACGCAACACATATGGACAAATCTCTATTTCTTTTATCCCTTCTTGTGAGGATCCTTCACAGTTTACACTCTAAACTGGTCTTTGTGTATGCTATAATGTCATTGTTTTAGTCTCGGTTTTGTTTTCTGATGCATTCTCTACAGTGCCAGCATTCTGGCACCATGCAGACCATTATAATGGTGTATACTGGTTAAATCATGATCCATAGTACATATACAGCACACACGTCCAGTACACTGCAGTAATAGAGTTACAATTATCCCCTGCTAACATGAATAGGTTAACTCATGATCCATAGTAAATATGTACATAACATGTAGTTGTACTATGGATCATTTAACCCATTCATGTTAGCATGGGATAATTGTAAATGTATTGTTGCAGTGCACTCTATATGTCGTATATAGTACTTGTACATATAAAGTGCACCACAACAATACATTTACAATTATACTCTGCTAACATGAATGGGTTAAATGATCCCTAGTTCAGGGCTACATACAGATCATTTAATCCAGCAGAGTATAATTGTCAATGTATTCTCTGCACTGTATTAGCAGTATGTACTCTATATGTAGTACATATAAAGTATATACTGCTAATACAGTGCAGAGAATACATTGACAATTATACTTTGGTTAATAGTGCCCCCCAATCTGCCCTCACTCACTGTGTTCGAACACCGGAGAGAGCAGCGACGAGTCAGCGCTGGTCCGGTGGGAGGAGCTCCAGGAGGAGTTCTAATTTAGCTGGCCGGCGACTGCCCAGAGGTGCCTGCCAGCTTTTTTTTTTTTCTTCTTACTTGCCTCGCCGAGCGTCACGTCACTGCTGCTCCGGTGGGTGGCGCTCTGAGCCGGGTCATCTGGCAGTCTCCGGCCACCTAAATAAGGACCCCACCTGGAGCGCCGTCCACCGGAGCACCAGTGACTCGACGCTCGGCGAGGTAAGTAAGGAAAAAAAAAAAACATAGCGCAAGCTTTGGCACTATCTATTTGACAAGTATCAGTACTTGTCAAAATGCCCTGTATCGGGCCTATTCCAATGCTAGCATCGGTATCGGGACATCCCTACTGAAAATGTTATTTATATTCAGCTTGTGTACAGGAGATAAGTAGATTGTTCCATTTGTTTAACAGTTGGACCCACAGATGGTTCCTTTTGGAGATACTGAGGTTGAGTATCTGCATGGCCACAGGTTCAGCATTTCCCCATAGCAAACAATCAGATTAAATGTTCACTGGGAAAGAATAATTAAATGGCACAGACAAATTGACGAATTATCCTTCAGTCTAAAAGGACAGTTCAAAAATGAAACTTTGAATTTGGTCGCTGTGCAAAAGTACTGGCACTTTCTTCAATTCTGTTTTTTCCCCTTAGACTGATCATGCATTGTAAGTGTCAGTGTTCTAGTAATCATAAAAAAAATCCTGTATCATCCTTTTTTTTTTTCTTCTTCTTGTTGCTAGGTTCTGGCGATCAAATGGAAGGCACGCTGCATGAAATGGTGATAAAGGCGGCTGCTGTTTATAAAAACAGGAAAGCAGTTTGTTTCCAAACGTATGATGGGCCTCCTGCATTTTGCACCTATGAGGAGATGATGCAGCTAGCTGAAGAGCTTACTTGTTTCCTTAAATCTCTGCTGAATGGTTTGCAGAATTGTGTGATTGGGCTCTTCTGCCAACCAGGTATACACTTGCTATCATGGATATTAGGGTAAGTTTGCTGCTGGCACTTTCTACAATCCTTATTAGAAGGGCGTTTAATGCCTTTAAAAGGAAAAGACCGTTTTTACTCTTTGGTTTGGTTTTAGGCCTCTTTCACACGTGTGTTACAATCAGGCATTAGAAAAGCGTTTTTAAAGCCTCTCTGCCGCCTATTAACGCTCATGTGGGATAAAACAGTGGCAACTGCCCAGTGCAGTTCACACATGGGCATTAGCGTTGTGGTGCTGTGTGTTAAAAAATAGAGTGCATGTTGAGTTCTGGAGGCATTGCTGCTGGGCAAATGCCTCCATTGAAGTATATTGAAACGCCCCTTAAACGCTCGGTCAATGCTCCTATAGTATTCTTCGGGCATTTAGGAAAGCGTTGCACGTGTGTTTTAGGAGAGGCGTAGGAGGTTTTGCATTCCCTAAAACCACTGGAGAATCATAGTGAGTGGACAAAGCAGGTGCAGATGCAACTTCCTGTCTGCACACAGCCAGCATTTTGCAAGCAAGAGGACAGCTTCTAGCCAGGTACCTGCAACGTGTGACAGCCTGAACTATGCCACCCTGGAGTTCCAGCTGTTTTTAGTGCCATCCAAAACAGTGCCAGCCATACCAGTGGCAGCTTAGCAGTGCAACCATACAATTGCCAGGCATTGCAAGTACCAGCCAGAACAAGCCATGTCTGAAATTAATATTGCATGGCTAATTCAAGCATACAATTTAACACCCAGAACTGTATGAGCCAAGTCTGCCCACCTTCTGCTACTACTGCGAGTGTGGTAAGAAATCACCCAGCGTGTACTGAGGGTGGACAGGGAAAGCCTTACAGCCACGGAGCAGGAGAACAAAAATGAGTATTGTTCATATGACTTTCATGTGCATTGTTTTATGTCAAATATTACTATATATACCATGTGAAGTTTAGTTCAAGGTAATGTTTAAAGATGCATAAAAAAAGGGGTTACCCTTGCAGGGGTTTTCAGCATTTCTTAGCATAGCAAATACTTCCATTACCAGCCTCCTGGCTTGTTCTGGCCTCACAGGCTTTAGGCCCTCGACCATCTCTATGCTGCAAACACTGACTCTGCACTGTCCCTCAAACCCTGTCCTGGCTGGTACAGAGTGTGGAAGGGACTCTTGGAAAGTCTCTGGGAGATGATTGGATACTCCCAGTACTGACGCAGCACCCTTCTCCTCTTTCGCTGGGACATTTGGTCCATCATCATCAACATCTTCAGTGGGACCAAGCAGAGGATTATGTAGATCACTGTATCCAAACTCATGCTGTTGTCAAAAGACATCTGGATTAATATTAATGCAGCAATACACAGCACAGAAAACTAACAATATGCCTGCAAATTTCACCACAGCCTAAGAGCACCTCAAAGCTGGACACTTCCATTTATTACATCACTTCCACTTTAACAATCCCCTATTGCATTGAAAATGCCTGCCGAATGCCTTGTTAACACTATAGGCTCGTTCATCAGCGTTGCTCTTTCAATAAATTCTCAATGTACGTGTGAAAGAACCCTTAAAGGAAAACTATGAGGCGAGTGATTTCCACTCATCCTCATACCGTAGTAAGAGCCGACCTGTGACAAAGAAGCTGTCGCTGGTCGGCTCTATTGATCAAGAAGTGAACAGAAACATGCAGCCGATCAGCTCACTTCCCAATCACCTCCCTGCAGGGAGCGGTGACTGCCAGTCACAACTACCCGCAAGGTTTCCCCTCTCCGACCCTCCAGCGCTGAGTGGAGGAACAGATGGGGGAGGGGGCGGGCACAGCTGGCTCTTCCTCTAGATAGGCAGAGCCAGCTGTCACACACGCAGCTGGGTGGATCACGACAGTATTGTTGGGATTCGTTCCCTGCGGCCCTTAAGGTATACAGCGAGCTGTAACTCGCTATATAATGAGTTTTGGGTCACAGGAGGGGGTTAGTATATGTCCTCCCATGACCCTAAAGGGAACTATGTGGAAAAACACTTACCCATAGTTCTCTTTTAAGCTTGAAGTGGAAACCCTTAAGTTAAAGCAAACCTGTCATAGAAATTGAAACCCAGACCCACCACCCATCCCCCAAGATACCTTCCAGTGCCTAAATTACCTGCATTGGTGCGTTGTTTCTAGGCTTATTAGTTCATCTTTGGCAGTAGTTTCTGTAGACGCTGACAAAGTAAAGAAGTGCTTTAACCGCATGAGAGCATCGCTGCTTTTTGATGTATAAATCTGATGGCGGTATGGCTCCAGTGGCTGCACACTATGCTTCTAATTATGGTACGGTGGATATTTATTGCATCCTTTGGATGAGTAACAGTGCGCTCCCCACATTCAGCAACCCACAAGAACAAGGTGACATAATCATGCATTCCTTTATATCTGAATCTGGAGTTTTCCTTAAATAGGGAGTCGTGATCTCACAACTTTCTTTTAAGAAAATTAGAGAAGCATGATTGCAGGAGGCCATTCTATATAACTACACAAAATATGTTCATTTGTACTGATGTTAAATTTAATATCCAACAGTTTCTCCTAACATTTGTAGCACCGTTTTTTGCATCTATAATGTGCTATATATTATATATTAAGGCCCTCCTTACCATCTTGTCTTGATTTGTATTGTGATTGTAATGTCTTCCTTATATTGTAAAGTGCTGCGCAAACTGTTGGCGCTATATAATAATAATATATATATACACACATACGTTCAGGTATTTACATATTCCGAACAGGCAGTAAAAACACTTTAAATAAGTGGGGGTGGGGCGAGCTGTCCATGGTGGAGAGTGGATGCATGTTGTGGAACTTGGTGCTAGATGGGTACTGTTGCAGGTGATCATAGAGCCACGGACGGCAAACGAACCTATGCCTAAGCTTAAAAAGACAAAGAGGATACCCGGATCCCTCGAACGTACAGCCTAAGGCACTTTTTTTTACCTTACTCACAACCATCTGCTTGACAAAAGAATTGCTGAAGATGGCGCTCTAAAAAAAATGGTCAGGACTTTGCTGCAGCCTTCCAATCAGACTCCAAGTTTTGCAGTTCCTTTACGGATCCCCCATCTACTGGTCCTGACCAAAACAGCCACATGATTTACCCAGACCCTCACCAGAGGTGAGTTCCCCTGATTTCTGATTTGTAGCTGTAGGCAGTGTAGAGAAATTAATCTTCAAATTCTACCGTACAACAGAGACTCTGTTGTGACCTATTTTTAATGGCGGCAGAAACTCTGCTTTGTGATTATAAATAGGCACCAGATGTTTGTAAGCTGTTAGAAACCAGCTTTTGAGTCTTTGCTGTGTTGTGAAATGAATTATTTCATAGTACATGCAGCTAGAGAGGCCAGCAAGTGCCTAATTTAAATCCCTTTACTGCATGTTAAGAATATATTAAAGCTTTAATATGCATAGACCAGTCACAGATGCACTTTAGTGATCCAATTTTTACTGTTTGTAATTTCACTTAAATTGTTTTTCCTTTTGTTTCTTGTAGAATTCTCCAGGTTCCTGCTGCCTATTGTCCGGTAGATCCTGGTGCCCCATCTAATTTCACATCTTCACTCGCAGATCTCTGTGAAATTCGCTACATGTTGGTGGAAAACAACAAAACTGAAGTGAGCAAAAGATTATAACATGATAGACTTTACATTACATTTTCCTTTTAATGTTTTAAATTATAACTAATCTTAGATTACTTTAAGTAGATGTAAACCTAATCCTAGTATTTGCAGATAATGTTTAACATGCTAATGTTGTTTCTTCTTTTTATATCAAATCATACCAAGTAACCCTGCCATTGAAGTTCTTGTTCAGACACTTTCTGTTTTTGTTTTGACAACACTCTGTCCCTGCCTTCCAACTGTGTTGCTGCATTGTCACCCTGTCACATAGGCTTCTGATAG